CACATGTTACCTCTTGAAATGGTTGAACATCGACCATTTCTTTTTGGTACAGTGACTCTGTATATTCTTTCCATCTTCTTTTGATGCTTTCTGCATCATTCAATATTTTGCCCATAGACTCCTTCAATATTTCAAGTCGAAGCTTGAATTTTTTTCTTCAGTTCTTTCAGCTTGAGAGATGCTGAGCGTGTTCTTCACTTTTGATTTTCAAATGCCACGTCTTTGCACATTTCGTTAAAATACTTGACTTTGTCTGCCTTCTCAAGCCGATCTTTGAAAATTTCTGTTCAGCTCTTGTTACCTCCTCATTTCTTCCATTTGCTTTAGCATCTCTACACTGGAGAGCAAGTCTCAGATTCGTTACTGACAACCATTTTGTCTTTTTCTTCTTTCTTGTCTTCATAATGACCTTTTTTTAAAAAAAAATTTAATTCACAAAATGAAAAATGTCAACATAGACAAACTGTTTACCAAAGAAAGCATGCCACTAGTCAACTTTGTCTGAATGAACAATAGCACTTTTGTTATTCTTGTTGGGTAAGTTTTTTTATTTTTAAAGTTTTTACTGTGAATTGAGTGATAGGTTACATGGGAGAACATCAGTTTACACTCATCCTATTATATTTTGTCTCAATGCAATGATTACAATCCCTTCCATGCATCGTCATCCATCAGTATTTGCTTCTATTCCCTCTGGGTTTTTTTGGTGTGTATGTTTTTTTGGATGTACACCAAAACACTCATAAATATACAATCATTCAAACAACCAAACGGCACAGCCTGCAAGCCTGTACCCCAGCCACCAGCAAAGCACACAGCCCCTCTCCTTCCATGAGTCTAGAGTTCCCAGCCACTCCATCTCTCCACATCTCTATCTCTGCCTCCATCTCTGGCATCACCGCTTCTCTGGATAGGGTCCCACACTCCACTTCTACTCTTGTCCCTTGATGGTCCCTGGGTCCTCCATTCCTAGATTGTAAGATTAACTACTGCCCCTTTTTGCTACAAAACTAACTTCTACCTTTACAGTTGTGACAATCACAATTAGTTATGATAACAATTACTTACTATTGAATCACAAGAGTCTTATCCCCATCTCCTTTCATCAGACCTGTCTAGACAGGAATAGGATGAAAACCACTTAGTGAGGATTCTACCTTTCCCCACACACTCTAAAACTAAACTCCCTCTTGAACTCTTGCTACTACATCCATAAGCATAGGTCAAGTTCATCAAGTTGTAACTATTTACACTTGTTTTATCAAAATTGTTATTTTTAAAAATCTTCCTCTAGTCAACTTCGGATCATCCAGCCATTAAAGCTAGGTCCAATAGGTACTGTCTGCAAGTTTGGGCATTCTTGTGCATATCCCCTCACTTCCTATCAGCTGGATGCTTCACTCTCAGCTCTAGCCCTCTGTGGCTATGTTCTTGTCCATGGGTTCAGGAGTCCCATGTCTCACCATACTTTGGGCCAACCATGTCTCACCATATTCCAGGTTGACAGGAGTCTATATAATGTGGTCAGACTCAGCCTACATCTTCATTGCTGCTTTCCCCCCACTTTCACTCACCAGTAGACCAACATGGTCGCCAGCAAGCTTACATGTCTGCTCGTGTATTCCCTCTTGAGTTTCAGTCTTGGAAGGGGGTTTGTCCTGGAGGGATTTGATTGCTTAACTTGTAATGGCTCCCTGGTTACCAACTTGCTTGTTCTTGTGGGAGCCAATCAGACTGCTGTTTTTATTTTTTATTTTTCCTGCTGATCTTTCTTTCAAGAAGTATCTTCTGTTCCTCTAGCTGCTCCAGGCTAGTCTGCTTGTCTTTTCAAGTGGGAATTTCCCACCTCAGAAGGTTCTGCATGGGGATCAGGATTCCACCTAAAGTCTTATACACTACAAAGGCTCCACAAAAAGCCTGTTTCACTGGGCAAGTTCTAGAACCCCTTTTAGGTATTCCAATCACTTATAGGCTGAAGAAGGACTTATAAGTTTATTTCTGTAATCATGTTTCTGGATATTCCTTTCTGTCCCACTCAAGTGCTTAATGACCTTTTGCTTTCCCTGTCTGAGGTACTTGATGTCATCCCACAACTCTTTTGGTCGTCTGTCCTTAGTGTCTAATGCATCAAATCTGTTCTTCAAATGTTCTCTAAATGCAGATGGAATATACTCAAGGTCATATTTTGGCTCTTGTGGACGTGTTTTAAATTTATTCAACTTCAGCCTGAATCTGTATATGATGGTCTGTTCCACAGTCTTTCATTGATCTTGTTTTGGCTGATGATATGGAGCTTTCCACAGATGTAGTCAATTTGATTTCTGTGTATTCCACCTGATGAGGTTCATGTGTATAGTCATCCTTTATGTTATTTATACAAGGTATTTGCAATGAAGCAGTTATTGTTTTGCAAAATTCTATCATGTAATCTCCAGCATCATTTCTATCACCAAGGTCGTATTTGCAACTACTAATACTTTCTCTTCATTTTCTCTTTGGTTCTTCCAGATACGTCGGAAATAAAAGCCAAGAGAACTAGTTCAGGCAGTTAACTTACCCATCACACTATTTTGATTTTGAAGAAACTGGTTTTACTGGTAATACATTGTTCCTCCACTTTCCTCTAACTTCCACATGTGAGACTATAGTGAAAAAAGTATTGGAGGTCCAGTCTTTGTCTCCCTTTGTGTCATTAGACAAACTCTACTGGCAGGGGCCATGATGGCTCTGATAAGAAAAACATTGCAACAACATCAGAAGCCATGTCATGGAGGAACAGAACGGCGAGAAACCCTGCGACTGAAAAACTCATTGTTTTAGCAAAGCGACAATCAAGTGTCTCCCTGGTTGGCAAAGCTCCAGGGAGAGCCTCATGCAGGGGACTTGCAGTCTCTGTCTTTTCCTTTTATGAATAGTTCATTTTTGATTTTTCTATAGAAGTTTTTAGTAGAACTCTTCAATAATCATGTTACAGGTAGGGCAATGCAGAGGACCCTAAGCATGAAGGGCTCATTGTTAAGCAAGGCCACAATGAGTCCCCCCTTGGAAGGCAAGGCCCCGAGGAGGGATCTCATGTGGGGGCTCTGCAGTTTCTGTCTCTTTGTTTTAATCAGCTTATTTTTAATTTTCTTGATTTTATAATAAAAATTTTCAGTAGAATCTTAGTAAGAATTATATTAGAGATTTGAAACTTGTTTTTAGGCACATTCACACCATATTCAATCATGCATAGTCCTAAAGAATGCTTTTCACACTAACAACAAGTTTCACCACTAGGAAAAACCAGCTAAAGTTTTTGCCAGTCCAAGTTTAAGATTACATTCAACATTCTGTGTAGTTTTGGTCATGGACATCAAGACCTCTAGAAAATTAGCTAAAAATGCAATTGAGGGCTAAGGGAATAGAAATAGATCATAAGCAGAAATCTAACTAGATGTTTTATGTAGAGAAGTTATAAGGAAGTTGCTCCGTTTCTTCTTAACTACAAAACTTTATGCTTCTTGTTTTTCTTGTTTAATCAATCATGAGAAACAACTGTGTTGTCAGTTACCATAGCAAATAATGTCTAGGTCCATGTTGTGAATAATGAATCTATGGAAAGTAATAGGTGAGGGTAGAAATAGGAGTTAAGATTTAGAATTCTGTTTTAAGGTTAACGTGACATTTTAAGAACAATGAGGTTTGTTCATAAAAATCAAATATTGTCTAACTATGTAAAGGGTAACAAGGAAGATTTTGATGTTCTTGATGTTCTATATTGAAATGATTAATATGGATGATTTAGACCACTACTTTGAAAAGAATGATTAATAGATTGATGGTATAGAGTAGTATAAAAGCTGTTTGAGAATCTGAAATAAATGTAACAGGAGAAATAAAATGTGAAGGGAAAAGGAGGAGAAATAAAATGTGAGAGGAGAAGACTCACCATTCATTGAGACCCACTGATTTTGTGAGCTTCATTTCTTTGCCGACGCCATACATCTTTCTAAGGACCCCCAAATAAGAGTGTCGGGGCTGGCTCCCGAACTCTACACAGCGGTCCACCCAGATGGTTCCTTTTTTCTCTTCCCAAGACAGGAACCAGGCCAAATGCAGCATGTGTATCTATCTCTCCTCCCACGTGCTGGAGGGGTGCTGTGAGTGCCACCTGGAGCCAACAGTATTCTTTGCAGGTGATCCGGTATAGCCAATGACAGGTCTCTGAAGGTCAGGCCACAACAGGACCATGGACACACTCTGGTCATGGTCACAAAGTACCAGGTCACACCAGGACCAAGTCACACTAGCACCTGATCACACCAGGATCCAGAATGGGGCAACACCACTGTAACAAGAACCTATGCAAACGAGGACCAACAAGGTTTGGACAGCATACACAGTGGGCACTAAAGATACTTCAGTATTCCAAAACCACATTTTCACTAACCTTTTAGTTCCCAGCATTACTTCCTGCACCAGCAGAGTCAACAAGGTGGTCAAAGCACAGGCTCTGGGGAGGGGATGTCCAGTTCACCAGTTCAGAGCCAGCAGTACTCATCTGGACACTGGAAGAACACACCTCTTCCCCCAGGTGACCACCAGTACTCTAAGCGGTTTTACATGGCACTACTCAGCAGACGCCAGCCCCCAGGTATGCAGGGAGGGTCCAAGAAGTCTGGCCTTATGGTTGCCAATGTGAGGTCATCTTAGAGATAAGGTATGCAAATATAAGAACAATGGTTTTAACTGCTAACTCCACAACTGTCAGTCTGAGTTTTCCTATATAAATTGCTTCTAAATAAAGACCAATTTAAAAAGAACAAAAACAATCCTTTGTACTATTTTGAAGTAGCATGTGGCTTGCAAGATTAAAAGCTTCCCTTCAAAGGTGACCCTGGCACCCCAGGCATGGTCCTCTTGATCTGTGGTCTCACCAGATACCCACCTGGAGGAGATACTGACATTTGAAAACTGATGTCATCTAGCATGGTACCAACACAAGAACACGTGGTACTTACACTTCTGGGGTGCTGAAGAGCTGCTTCATGTTGCAGTCTCACCCTCTGTGGCATCATCACATCATCCTGTGATAAAGAACACAGCTTTAATCTCACAGTTTGTTACTCACTGGAGTGCTTCTGCATTTTCTTTTACTTGTAACAAAAGGATTAGATGTTTAAAGCAGAAAAATAATCAACATAGATAGAAAATATAACTACAAAATGTTACAGAATTAGAATCACATAGAAGAATGTTGAATTGTAGGCACCAAACACTATAGTCAAAATATGAAAGGAAAATTGAAGGAACCATCATCACAGTAGAATATTTTGACACATCTCTCTATAGAGCAAACAGACAAAGGAAATCCCTCCTAGTATGTTGTTATTTGGTGCAATCAAGTCAGTTCCAACTCACAGCAGCCCTATGCACAACAGAACAATACACTGTCCAGTCCTGGGCCATCCTCACAATTGTTGTTAAACTTAAACCCATTGCTGCTGCCACTGTGCGAATTGATCACATTGGGGTCTTCCTCTTTTATGTGGGCCCTCCACTTACCTAGCATGGTATCACTCTCCAAGGAGTGATTTCTCCTGATAACGTCCTAAGTATGAGAGAGAAATTTTCACCATCCTGGCTTCTAAGGAGCATTGTACTTCTTCCAACACAGATTTGTTTGTTCTTCTGGCAGTCCATGGTACCTTCAACATTCTTCTCCAACACCAAAACTCAAAGGCATCAATTCTTCTACAGTCTTCTTTATTCACTGTCTAGCTATCAAATGCATGTGAGGCGACTGAAAATACCATGGTCAGGTGCATATTAGTCCTTAAACTGGTACCTTTGCTTTTGAACACTTTAATGAGGTCTTGTACAGCAGATTTACTTAAAGCAATACATTGTTTGATTTCTTGGCTGCTGCTTCCATGAATGTTGATGGTGGATCCAAGCAAAATGAAGTCTTTGACAACTTCAATCTTTTGTCCATTTATCATGATGCTATTTATTGCTCCAGTTATGAGGATTTTTGTTTTCTTTACATTGAAATGCAATCCATACTGAAGACTGTAGTCTTTGTTTGTCATCAGTAAGTATTTTAAGTCCTCTTAATTTCCAGAAAGCAAGGTTGTGTCATATTTCAGGCTGTTAATAAATCTTCCACCAATTCTGATGCCTTGTTCCTCTTCACATAATCCAGTTTCTCAGATTATTTGCTCAGTATACAGACTGAATAAGTATGGTGAAAGAATACAAATATGACACACACTTTTTCCTAATTGTAAACCATCCAGTATCCCTTTGCTCTTGTTAGAACGACTTGGTCTATGTATAGGTTCCTCATGAACACAATTAAGGGTTCTGGAATACCAATTCTTGACAATGTTATCCACAGCTTGTCATAATCCACAGAGGAGAAAGCTTTCGAATAGCCAATAAAGCACAAGTAAATGTCTTTCTGGTAATTCTCTTTCATGCACGATCTATCGATGTCAGCAATGATATCCCTAGGTCCGCATCCTCTTCTGAATCCAGCTTTAATTTCCAGAAGTTCTCTGGTAGTGTACTGTTGCAACTATTTTTGGATTATCTTTAGCAAAATTTTACTCGTATGTGATATGAATGGTAGTCTATGATTTCTGCATTCTGTTGATCACCACTCTTTGGAATGGGCACAAATATGGATCTCTTCCAATCAGTTGGCCAGGTAGCTGTCTTGCACATTTCTTGGCATAGATGAGTGAGCACCTACAATGCTACATCAGTTTGTTGAAAGATTTCAATTTGTGTACTGTCAATCCCTGGAGCCTTGTTTATCGACAATGCCTTCAGTGCAGCTTGGACTTCATATACTATCTCTTGAAATGGTTGAACTTCAACCATATATTCTTGGTACAATGACTCTGTGTGTCCCTTTCATCATTTAAAATTTGCCCATAGAATCCTTCAACACTGTAAGCTAAAGCTTAAATTTTCCCTTCAGTTTTTTTCAGCTTGAGAAATGTCGAGTGTGCTCTTCCCTTTTGACTTTCTAACTCCAAATCTTTGCAAATTTCATTACGATACCTTGACATATTTGCACATTTCATTATAATACCTTGATATAGCTCAAGCTGCCCTTTGAAATTTTTCATTCAACTATTTTATTGACTCATTCTTCTATTCGCTTTATCATTTTCTATACACTGTACAAATAAACTAAAATCTCCTTACCAATGGACCAATAAGTAACATCCATATAAATGGAGAAAAGATTGACATTGTCAAGGACTTAATTTACTCAGATACATCAACACTCATGGAAGCAGCAATCAAGAAATCAAATGACATATTGCATTAGGCAAATCTGTTGCACAAAACTTCTTTAAAGTGTTGAAGAGCAAAGATGTCAGTTTGAAGACTAAGGTGCTTCTGACACAAGCCAGGGTATTTTCAATAACCCCACAGGCATGTGAAAGTTGGACAATGAATAAGGAAGACCATAGAAGAACTGATGCATTTGAGTCCCATCCAGAACCTTCTGAGGTGGGACACTACCACTTGAAAGGACGAGCAGACTAGCCTGGAGCAGCCAGAGGAAGAGAAGATACTTCTTAAAGAAAGACCAGCAGGAAAAATCAAAAACAAAAACGACAGTCTGATTGGCTACTACAAGAAGAAACAAGTTGTTTGCCAGGGAGCCATCAAGGCAAGCAATCAAGTTCCTTCAGGACAAACCCCCTTCCAAGACTGAAACTCAAAGTGAACACATGAGCAGGATTGTAAGCTTGCTGGTGACCACATTGGTCTACTGGTGAGTGGAAGTGGGGGAAAGACAGCAATGAAGAAATGGGCTGAGTTTGACCATGTTCCATAGACTCCCATTGACCTGGAGATGAGAGGAAGAAGAGGAAGGGCTGGCTGATCTGAAGTATGGTGAGACCTGAGAACTCCTGAGCCCATGGACAAGGATATAGCCATGGAGGGCTAGAGCTGAGAGTAAAGCGTCCAACTGATATGAAGTGAGGGGGGATGCACAAGAATGCCCAAACTTACAGATAGTACCCATATGACCTAGCTTCGATGGCTTGATGATCAGAACTCGACTAGAGGAAGATAAAAAAAATTTTTTTGATAAAGGAAACAAGGGTAAATTGCTACAATTTGATGAACTTGACCTATACTTAAGTATGTAGTAACTCAAAATACCAATTGAGAGGGAAGGAATCTTCATATCAAAGATCAATCCTATCCCCTCTGTTCACCGGGATGATAGGGGCAGGCAACTTAGACATAAGCTACTTAAAGTGCAGGGGCAAAAAAAAACTTGGCTTACAAGTTTTCAAGAGGGAGTTTGGTTTCCGAGTGTGCAGGGGAAGGTAGAACCCCCACTGTCTAGATGGGTCTGGTGAAAGGAGACAGGGATAAGGTTCTTCTGATTCAATAGTGAGTGACTGTTATCGTGATTAATTGTGATGGTCACAACTGTAAAGGTAGAAGTTTTTAACACAAAGTAGGGAGTAGTTAATCTTACAGTCCAGGAACAGAGGACCCTAGGACCATCAAGGGAGAAGAGCATGAACGGACTGTGGGACTCTATGCAGAGAACCAGTGACACCAGATATGGAGGCAGAGATGATGACATGGAGAGAGGGAGCAGCTGAGGACTCTAGACTCATAAAAAGAGAAAGGCTGTGTGCTGGTAACTAGGAGGCAGGCTTGCAGAATGTGCCCTTTGGTTGTTTAAATGATTATATATTCTTGAGTGTTTCTGTGTACATTTAAAAAAAAATTGTTGCATTTGAGCTATGGTGTTGGATAATATTAAAAGTACCATGGACTGCCAAAAGAACGAAACAATCTGTGTTGGAAGCAGTACAACCACAATTCTCCCTGGAAGCTAGGATGGCCAGACTTCGACTCTCATACTTCAGATCTATTGTCAGGAACGACCAGTCCCTGGAGAAGGATATCATGTTTGGTAAAATGGAGGGTGGGAGAAAAAGAGGAAGGCCCCCAACGATATGGACTGGCAATGATTGTGAGGTTGGTGCACAGCCAGGCAGTGTTTCATTCTGTTATGCATTGTGTTGCTTATGATTTGGTACCAACTTGGTGGCACCTAACAACAACAACAACGACGACACTTTTGTGCAAGTTTCTGAGTCTCTTCCAACATCCATTTGGCCTTTACTCCCTTACTTGTCTTTGTATTGACCTTTTGTCTCTTCCTGTATGATGCTCTTTTTTTTTTTAATGTTTTTATTTTGCATTGAGTGAAAGTTTACAGGGCACATCATCAGCTTCACATTCAACCATTCATATAGCTTGTTTCATTACATTGATTATTATCCCCTCCATATATCATCA